CAATTTGCTCTTGAAAATTTCTTTCCCATTCCCAGCTCCTTTTTTCCTCAAATACAACATCCTTACTAACTACAATTTTTTTAGTCTTAGGATCAAATAACCTATATCCTTTCGACTCTTCATTAACACCCAAAAGAATACAAGGAAAATTTTCATCTTCTAATTTACCTTGCTTTGCTTTTGGAATGTGCACATGTGCCACACAACCCCATACTCAAAAGTGATCAACTAATGGTTTCACTCTGCTCCATGCTTCTTGAGGAGTGATGTTTTTTGATGTTTTTTATCGCAAGAGTAGGACACCAGTTCAGCAAGTAGAACGTCCAGTTTACAGCTTCAGTCCAAAATATTTTAGGCACCTTCTTGGTGGCTAGCATGCAACATACCATGTTCATTACGGTCCTGTTCTTCCTCTCGGCAATGCCGTTTTAATCAGGTGTGTATGCAGTAGTAAGTTGTCGTTTGATCCCTTGTTCTTCACAGAATGCTTTGAAATTGAATGAAGTGAACTCGCCACCTCTATCTATCCTTAAACATTTGATGGACTCTTCTGCTTCTTTTTCCACCATCTTCTTGAAGGTTTTGAAACACTCCAAAGCTTCTAATTTCTCAAACAACAAATACACTCATGCTTTACAACTATAATCATCAATGAAACATAAAGTGTACCTCTTTCCACTACTGGATATGGGATCAATAGGACCGCAGATGTCTACATGAACAAGCTCCAAGACCTTGCTTGCTCGCCATTTACTCTTTTTGGGAATTGCATTTTGGAATTGCTTGCTGGTGAAACAATCGATGCATACTGTCTTTGAATCTTCTAATTATGGCAGTCCACGTACCACCTTCTTAGATTGCAAAGTTTTCAACCCCTTGTAACTTAAATGCCCATATTGTTAGTGCTAAAGATATGTGAGGTCTAAGGAGCTAGTGAGTAAGCACTCTTCTGATTATGGCTTAGTGATTGATGACCTTTCATTTAGGAGCACAAACATTCGATTTGTGATTGATGACCTTTCATTTAGGAGCACAAACATTCGATTTGCACTCATTCTTGTGTGTGCAATTAGTCCTTTGTCTAGATGACACATTTTACATGCCCCATTTTTTATGAGAATTGCAAGACCCTTCTCCTGTAGTTCCCACACTTATCAAGTTATTTCTAAGTTTAGGGACATAGTAAACATCTCTAATAACAAAAGTTGTACTGTTAAACACCAGCTTCACACTACCCTTTTCGGCTACTGTCATTCTAGGGTTGTTGCCACACTTCACCAAATGTTTAATTTCATCTATTAAACTTCAGAACATACTTTGATTACCACACATATGATTCGAACAACCTCAGCCAATAAACCAAGTGGCACTCCTCTTTGCATCCTGGTTTTTTATGTATGTCATTAACAGCAACTCTTCCTCTTCGTCTAGTTGAACATAATTGGCTTCCCTATTCCACTTGGGACACTCATACTGAAAGTGTCCTAGATCATGACACTTGAAGCATTCCACTATTGCTCTGGTGACTCTTCCACGTCCTCTTCCTCGTGATAGTGCTCTTCTACAGCCTCTGCCTTCTGCTCAATCTTCCACCTTGAGAGCATGATCACTTTCACGACTGATTACTCTATTGAATTTTTGCTCGTGAACTACAAGAGAGCTTTGAAGCTCATCAAATGAGAGTGATTCAGTGTTCTTGGACTCTTCAATTGACAATATCACATAGGTAAATCTTTCCGTCAAAGTTTGAAGAATTTTCTGAACCACTTTAGAATCAAGCATTTTTTCTCCATTGCTTCTCATCTTATTTGACACTGCCATGACCCTGGAAAAATACTCTATGATCGTCTCTCCTTCTTTCATCTGTAATACCTCAAAATCTCTTCTCAAAGAATTTATAAGAGATCTTTTTACTCGGTCATTCCCTACAAATTTGCTTTTCAACGAATCCCAAACAATTTTGGATGTGTGCCTACCCAAAACTTGTTCGAAAACTACTCGATCAATAACTTGGAAGAGGTAGTGTTTCACCTAGTGATCTTTCATCCTCTCATTCTCCAGCTGCTCCTGCTGTACATTTGTCAACGTTGTTCCTGGCTGAGTCTCTTCAAAATCCATTTTCAACTAAACTCCACAACCCTTTGGCTCTGAGCAAATTTTCCATTAATTCACTCCAATGGTCGTGGTGGAGACCATTTAAGTGTGGAATCTTTGTAGAGCAATTCTCTTCATTCATCTTATTATGTTCATCTCTCTCTCTCTCTCCATTTTCTTAGGCCTAGTGTGGGCTCTGATACCAGTTTGTAGAGTAAAAGAATTATTTTAAAATAACTCTGATCAAATTGAATATGATACTTGCTTATTATTGAATTTTAAGCTAGGCTTTAAATAGCCTTTTACAAAGCAACAGAATGCAAGAAAATAGATCATGCGAGCTACTGCTATCAACTAAAACAAGAATAAGTCAGAATCAACTATCTCTCCTAGAGCCTAGAACTTTATTGAAACAGAAAGCCAAATACTCCTATCTTCAAGTAACTAATTTCAATAGAAAAAGACTCTTTCAATAACAAAGGTATTTATGTGTTTTTATTAGAATTGACGAAAAAAATATGACATTTTCAACGGAAGGACTAAAAATTTCAGACAAAGGCATATGTCAGAAATGTTGGAATAATTCCATCAAATAGTAAGGACGAGTTAATGTATTTTATAAAACCTCAGAGACCCAAAAGTAATTTTTCTTTATTATTTTAACTGTGGCACTTTCAACTTTATTAGACCTATTAAATACTTTAATTTATAATACTTGCATCTAGTTTCTATATTGTATAGAGAATTGTGCTCTAAGTTTTAGAATTTAACTGCAAAAGAGTTGTATTTTTTTATTGAATAATTACTGAATTTTTTAGTTAGTATTGATATGTGATCGTGATGGACGGAAATCCAAACCGTTAGTTTTAATAGTCATGTTAGTTAAATTTCAAAAATAATCATACAGATGCCACAATTATCATCCAAAATAAAATATGAGGTATATATTGATAAAATTAAAAGAATTAATATATATAATATTTTAGTTTAAATTATAAAATAAAATTAAAAATAAATATATGCCACTTAAATTTTTTTTTTTTCTTTTTCCTAATACTCAGTCATATTTAAAATTAAAAATTTAGCGTCTTAAAAATATTATTGAATTTATGGAAGATAATTGGAAGGACGTGTAGTTGCAAGATTGAAAGATACAACTACTTAATGAAGACCAAATGGTAGTTCCTACCTACCCCAAAAATATGAAAGTATATTATATTATCCTAATAATAAAGTAGCAACAATACATTCTAAATGAGATAAGAAGGTAACGATTCATTTTTACTTAATTAAAAATGTCGAATTCAAATTTTAAATATGAAATCTCTGTAAATAGGAGAAAATGCTTACCTTTCTTTGTTAAGCGAATCTGATCAGGTTAGAAAAAAAAAAAAAAAAAAAACAACACTTTGTTAAGCGAATCTGATCAGGTTAGAAAAATAAAAAAAAAAAAAGTAACAACAAGTATCAATAATGGGCGACAACTTTTTATTCAAAATGTAAAAAGCTTTGAGGATATATCCCACATTTGGCCATTTCGCATCCATTGAGATTTGTGAATCAAAAAAAAAAAAAAAAAAAAAGTAACAACAGTATCAATAATGCGACAACTTTTTATTCAAAATGTAAAAAGCTTTGAGGATATATGCCCACTTGGCCAATTTCCATCCATAGATTTGTGAATCAATCTAATATAGGTAACATGATTTTTGGTGAGCACGTCACGGGAAAAGGCAACTTCCGAAGCATCTCTAACCATAGTTAGGTGAACAATTAATAATTAAAAAAATCAGAATCAAATTCTTCAATCATTTCATTAGTATTTCATAATAAAATAATGTGTTTTCTTAAATTATATGATAATTAATATTTTTGTCCTTCTATTTTCTAGAAATTACTGTGATATTCATAACTTTTACTTAAATTTATTATTAGGTGATTTCAATAAAAAAAATATCACTTTACAATAAAAATATATATATATATACTTTTCAAATAGAATATTACTTATTTTTTAGAGAAATGGATGATTTCTAATGAAAGGATTCAATAATTAGTTAAGCAAATATTAGAACTGTCATAATAATTTCTAAAAAATGTATGATAAAATTACTAATTAGAATATAATTTATGAACCTAAGTATATTTTGTCTTTATTTTAATAATAGAAATCACTTTTTTTTCTTTTTTTATTTAATTTTTTCCAGTAATTGATGGTAAGTTAAGAAATTTCATACGGAGGTAGCGCAAGCCATAATCATTTGGGTTAGATGTGACACAATAATTATTAATTACCAATAAAATTTAATCAGTTAATTAAATATTATTGATAATATTTTATTATATTTTATAATTTTTTTTAGTCGAAAAAGATAATAAATTCCAATCTGAATCTATCGTGAGGTCGTATATGTATTTACTGTTATGTTATGCATATTTTATATCTTTTTAATTCTGAATCAATGTGGAATATTTTATTAATATCCAAAGAAAAAAAATGAGTTTAAAAATGAAAATTAAAACAACAAATATGGATATTCTCCTTTTATATATATATATATATTCTTTTTACATATCGAATACTCTACTCAACTCAAACAGACTTATTTATGATTTATTTTCAAATATTATTAATAAATGAATTAATAAACTACACAAGATAATGATTGGCATCCAACCTGTGAAAAAAGAACAGGCAGGCAAGCACGATGAGATGGGACAAAGTGTCAAGTGAACAAGTCAATGAAAAAAAATATTATTACATTAAAATAAATATTAAAAACCAACAAATTCATACATAAATTAATTGAAAAAAAATTATATATTTTGAAAATTCAGCTTTGCTGGCGCCTAACTTTTTGCTTTGAAAGACTCACATGGCTTTTCTTGCATCATTCAAAACACAGAGAAAAAGGACGAAACAATAAAAAAAATAAAGAAAAGAAAGGAAAATTTTTTAAACAAAAGAAAGAGATCAAGAAGAATCAAGAACCACTTTGAAAATGACCTTCCCTTTTCTTTAAAGCACTGTTGCTATTAGTGTGTTCTTTCTTTTCAAAACTTTCCTCAAACTTTCTTTTAAGCTTCCCATTAGCCAAACAGATTGGAAAAAATTGGTATTAAAGAAGTATATATATTACACAAAACAAAATTTTGTCTTTTCTTTTATTGATATAAGAGCTCTTAATTAATTCTGTCGTCATGGATATGTCCACCAAGGGAAGAGCACTGCTTAAGGTCATCGTTCTTGGCGATAGTGGGTAAGCAAATTTTAGTTTTCTTTTTAATTTTTGGATGGATTAGTTTCCTGTATCCGGCTAAACTTTTTTTCTATTTTACTGTTTGATTCTCAAGAAAATTTTTGTTCTGTATTTTTCTCTTGGTGGTTTCAGGGTGGGAAAAACATCTTTGATGAATCAGTATCCACTCTACATGATAATGAATCAGTATAATGTTGGCATTCCACACTAAAAATTCATCGCTGAATATAGATTAAATATTAATTATGAGAAATATTATGAACCAAATGTTTTCTTTGTTCTCTGATGCAATTTTTTGTGCGATCAAAACCCATTAGTTTGGACATGTTAGATCCTTAAACTGCTTATTCAGATATGTATATAAGAAGTTCAGTCAACAGTACAAAGCTACAATTGGTGCTGACTTTGTGACCAAGGAACTACAGGTTGATGATAAGCTGGTAACCTTACAAGTGAGTAATTAATTAATTAATTAATTAGGGTAATTAATTACTAATTTATTTTAACAGTTTGGATATATAATTTGATGGCAGATATGGGATACAGCAGGGCAGGAGAGGTTTCAAAGTTTAGGGGCAGCATTTTACAGAGGAGCAGATTGCTGTGTTCTTGTTTATGATGTGAATGTTCTTAGATCTTTTGAAACACTTAACAATTGGCATGAAGAGTTTCTCAAACAGGTATACATCATAATGCCTTTTAATTAATTTAGTTTGCTTATTAACATATAATTTAATTTCTATTTGAATTTAGTTTCAAAAAAGAAAAAAAACCTATTTTTTGGATACTTCCATAGGGTGTCTAGGCCTTGTCCGTTTTTACGGTCCATGGTAAACCCGACTAATTCTCGCTGGCCCTCAAAAGTAATGAGACTAGTTTGGGAGAGTTTGCGCGCAGAAGATTAAACTCATGACCTAAACCATAGTGAATTTAGTAAGAATATTTAATTCATTTTTAAAATAATTTTATCTTAAGTATATTTTTAAATAATTAATTTAAATAGTGAAAGTATAAATACAAGAGAACGACTCACTTACACCTGGTGGTGTATGAGCCTACTTCATATACCAAATCAATTAAAAATAATTTTTTTTTGTTTAAATTTTAACTATTCACTAGAAAAAAACAAAGTACCAATTTTTTTTAAAAAAATCTTTTTTAATTAACTTGGTGTGCGATTGTATAATAAATTGGATATAGGCAAGTCTAATTCTAAATACAAACTCTTTAAAAAAAATATCATAGTTTACTTGCTTTATAAGTTATTAAGTCTCTGATTAATTACTATATACTTTTATTAATTAGTATTTATGAAAAATTTTTTTTTAATTGATTAAATGTAATTCTTGTTTTTATAAATTGAAACTTCATATCATTTTCATTCTTTAATGGCAGGCCGATCCAATAGATCCCGATGCGTTCCCCTTTATATTACTCGGAAACAAAATAGACGTAGATGGTGGAAACAGCAGAGTGGTACGAATGCCAAAAAAGGTGCATTAATTAAATGTTAAAGAATAGATTTAAGTGAAGAATTTTGTTTGCAGGTTTCACAGAAAAAAGCCATGGATTGGTGTGTCTCTAAGGGAAACATACCCTATTTTGAGACCTCAGCAAAAGAGGATTACAATGTTGATGAAGCTTTTCTTTGCGTTGCCAAAACTGCATTAGCCACTGAACATGAACATGACATGTGAGTTTATATATATACAATCCACATTAAATAGGGTTCATCTACTATAACATCAATCTTATTAGTTATTAAATTTGAATTTATACTTACCTTAATTCAAATATATTAAGGGCAAGTAATAACTACTATCTCTGTTCCATAATACTTGTCGTATTGAAAAAAATAGTTTGTTCTAAAATACTTGTCACATTTGTGGTTTCAAATAGTAATAAATATTTTTTTTCATGTTTACCTTTTGTATATGACCAATAATAATTACTTCAATTTAATAGTTTTCTTAGAGAATTAGTATTAAATTAAATGTAATATAGTCAATTTATTTAATAATTTATTTTAACTTAGATAAATTTAATGATTTTGTTAACGTGAAATTCCAATTGTGACAATTATTATAGAACAGATGTAGTATTTAATTAGTATCTCGAGTTTGATCATAATTGCAATTTCGTCTTTCTTGTTTGCTAAATACACTGATTTATCTTTAAGGTTTAGTTACATTAAATAGTTAATCCTCTATCTAAAAAGTGTCATTTTTTGTCGTCAAGCGAGGGATTAAATAGTAATTCAATAGTAAATATGAAAAATTAAATAGTAATAATATATTAAATGTGAAGGACCAATCAAATAGTGAAATATAATGCAGTATTAAATTTTAAAATAATGACGTTTTTTGATAGAATGACTAAATAATTTAAGAGAATTAAATTTTTAAGGATTAATAAATATATTTACCATATAAGAGGTATGTCATTATATGTATGACCAAATTAATGTGAAGTATCAAATAGTTGTTGACTCATATAGTAATAAAATTGCAATTATTTCAATATTATTTTAAATTTAAGTCAACTTTATAGCAGAGAAATTTTATTACATAATTATCCTTAGTTATTGTATTTTACAAGCAACTTATTCTATTAAGTTCCTCCAGTTATTTCCAGGGAATATCAGAAACTGTTTCAGAAGTTGAACAAAGAGGAGGCTGCGCATGTTGAGAAAGGATCAAAGCTATTCTTATTATTTGTTTGATTCTTTATTATTTATGTAATAAAATTATTAATTGGAGGGCTGGGGTTGTTTTAGTCATTTTATTTTTTAAAATTATGTTAGCATATTCACTGGTAGACTGACTGGTGGTGAAGTAAAGTGCTTGCAATAATTCAAAGTTATCCTTATTTTAAAATTAATGATTAACAGTTAGAAGCAAATTGATGTACAAATTTCAATAATATTAGTTTTTAAGAACACGCCTTACATGTTGTAATTACTCGCTGAGCCCAAACAGATTTTAAATAATAATAATAATAATAATAATCTATACACTACATAAATTAGTTGTTTTCCTTTTTTCAGGAAAAATAGAATTTTTAAATGATTGGCAGACAAAAAAAAAAAAGTAGTTTTAAAGATGATCAACCACATGGCACCACATTCAATATTCTAGAAGTTTCTACAAAACACTCAGAGTGTGAGTGCTGTTAACTCCTAAACTGATATAACTATTTGTTATAGAATAATTGGTAATGGTGTGTAATTTATTTTGGAAAGTCATCTGTCTAAGCTCTTGCATCCATTAACATTTTTTGTTTCTTCTAAACCAGGTATAATTAAATAACTTTACTACGTGTTACTATTAATGAAGAAAAGAAGGAAAGCTGGCACTATTTGGCCACATGGTACATGCTATCACACCCACATGATTCCAATTCTAAATCCTTTTGTGCTGTCCAATATGACTAATCCTAAGAACATGCATATTTTTGTATTCTTTTAGTCAATAAATTGTTAAATTCTATTATTAATTAAAAGTTCCATCGTCTATTGCACTTAAGTTAGCTTAGAATGAATGCCTGCATAACAAGTCAAAATAGTTCTTTTCTTGCCAATTCAAATGCATAAATTACAAGATAATTTTATTATTAACATAATGATGAAAAGCTACCAACAAAATGAATAGTTTTGATTCTTCTATAAAATATATTTTTGAAAAGAGATTAAAAATAAAAATAGAAAACTTGTAAAAAAAGAGAATAAAACAGAGCACTAAGTCAGCTATTTTTAAATATAAATATATATTAGAACTATTCAATTAGAGAATAGAGAGGCGGCAAAATAATGACTTAAAGTTCCATTTCCAAATCAATGTTTTTAATTTAATGATGACCTAAACTCGAGTTCTCGGGCTACTCATAACTGTTTGAGCATAGCTCTGTGAACCTCAGAAGGCTCGAGTCAAGAGTAAGACAAACTAAAGAGCATAAATTGCAAAGCAAAATTGGATTCAATTTTATAGTTCTGAATTATGAGTAGAAGGCAAAATTGTAACATCTATACAATTCATTGCTGAAGATAGTTTCAACTCGGTCTCTCTCTATATTTACACTTTAAAAGGCAAAATCTATATAATAGAATTGCTGAAATTAGTTTTACCTCAATATGTCCTCCCAAATGTCAACCATAACCTAATCTAACCCCAAAAAATAAGGAATTAAAGGTTCATCCTCTGTCATATTATCTATCATATCAGCTATCACAACAGCAGTCATTGCAGAGGCAGTTGCTGAATCCAAAACAGAAGTAGCATCAGCATCAATAGGAGGAATTAAAGGTTCATCTAACATCTCAGATGTCACTTCAACATGCATTGTAGAGGCAACTGGAACCGAGGTGAAAAGGATTAAAGAAGCCAATAGAAACAATGCATAATTACGAAATAGGAGTGGAAAAATAGACTCCTTCTCATCTTCGATATCAAAGATAGGTTACACGAGGTGAAAAGGATTAAAGAAGCCCAATAGAAACAATGCATAATTACGAAATAGGAGTGGAAAAAATAGACCCTTCTCATGCTTCGATATCAAAGATAGGTTGACATATATATAGCAGAAAGAGCAATAATAGTGAACCTATTCTAAAGGGTATTTGATTTTCAGATTTCCTATTCTGTAGGGAATTGTTTTACAAAGTTGGTAGCATGAGAGAGAGTTATCCTTAACACCTTAGCCCCCTAACGGTGGTTCGGGGAAAAATCAACCAACCCAAGCCTTGGAGAAACAAAATTGCGATAAGAATGTGAGGGTATTTTGTGAACATGTCGGCGAGCTGCATGTGTGATGGCAGATGGGGAGTGCTTATCAGTCCCGCTTGCAATTGACAGCGAACAACATGATAGTCGATATCAATGTGCTTAGTGCGCTCATGAAAAACAGGATTGGCTGCAATATGAATGGCGGCCTTGTTATCACAATGAAGCGGAATCGGTCGTTCAAGATGGATGTGAAAATCAGTTAAAAGAGAAGTTAACCACTGAAGTTCACATACTGTAGATGCCATTGCTCGATATTCAGATTCTGCCGAGGACCGACTAACCGTAGACTGTTTCTTGGTCTTCTTCTTGGTCTTCTTCCAGGAAATTAATGAAGTGACCATAAAAATACATAAAAATACAAAACCCAGTAATGGATCGTCTGGAATCACTACATGACGCCCAATCTGCATCAGAAAAAGCTCTTAATTTCAAATCATTTTCTGCCGGCAGAAATAATCCTGTAAAACTGGTGCCTTTGAGGTATTTGACCATGGTGAGTGCAGCTTTCAGATGGGATTGGTGAGGAATTTGCATAAACTGACTGAGTTGTTGAACAGCATAACTGATATCTGGTTGTGTCATGGACAAATATAGAAGGCGGCCAACAAGACGACGATAACTTCCCGGGTCCTATAATGGGTGCCCCATATCCGAGCCAAGCTTCAGTCCTTGGATATAAGGACTGTCCGCAATTTTTGCATCCTGAAGACCAGTGTCCCGAATAATCTCAGAGATAAATTTATGTTGAGTCAAGAACATACCATTGGCTGTCCGTGCAACTTCAATACCCAAGAAATACTTACCCAAGAAATACTTCACATCACCAAGATCTTTGATGGTGAACTTCTTATGTAAGTAAGACTTCAAATCTGAAATTAAATGGACAGAATGACTAGCAATTAAGCAATCATCAACATAAACCAATAGAGCAATGAAAGAAGCATCACGGCCTTTAGTAAATAGACAGTGATGAAACGAAGACTGCTAGAATCCCTGGCTTAATAAGGAAGTGGTCAATTCTTTATTCCACTGTCTACCAGCTTGCTTTAACCCATAAAGAGATCTCTGTAACTTGCAAACTTGTCCCTCTGCAGCTTTGGTATAACCAGGAGGAACCTGCATATATATATCTTCATCAAGAGAACCATCCTGCATATATATATCTTTCCATCAAGAGAAACCATGTAAGTAGGCATTATTTATATCCAGTTGTTTGAATCATCAAGAATTGGCGACAGCATGTTTAGAAAAACGAACAGTAACAGTTTGGCTAACACGGGAGAAAAAGGTATGAGAATAATCCAAGCCAAGCAACTGGTTGTATCCCTTGGCAACAAGTCTAGCCTTTGTAGGCGATCAAGCGCTGCCATCTGCATTATATTTTGATCTGTAAAACCCACTTACAACCAACTGGTTTAGTATTAGGAGGCAATCAGTCAAATATCCAAGTATTATTGCTGTCTATGAAGCCAATTGATCATTCATGGCATTTACCTCAATTCATGTTTTGTTTAGCATCATTATAATGGCAAGGTTCTTTAAATCTTAGACAACTGCGCAATAAAAATAAAGGACACATGGGATGTGGTAAAGTTAATGTGGGAAGTGGAAGAAGTAGCAGTATCATAATCGGTGAGCCAAGCAGGTGGGCGTCGAATTCTTGTGCTGCATCGGACGTCAGATACTGGAACAATATCTCTTATAGCAGCGTCATTCACCCCATGCGAAACTGCATCATGTTGGGCGGGGGAAACAGGTAAATCAGGAAGAAGAGGAGGTGGGTCGGTGTGGGGTGAGGTAGGTTCAGGGGTGGTATCAGGTTGTGGGTTATTAGTGAATGGAGGGTCGTCGGTGGCGGGTTCAGTTTCAACGGCACAATTGGGTAGTACAAAGGTAGTAACATCAGTTGGGTCGGGTTGGTGAAATGGGAAAATATTTTCCATAAATATTTCATAAAAAACAACGTCTCTGGAAACAATAATTGTTGGGGTTAAACAGTAGAGTTTAATAGGCTTTTGATGTGAGGCATAACGCTATCAACAAGGCAAGGCACAAGGAAAAGCTCGAGGATCAAACTTCTGTTTATGGGGTACTGTGTTGGTAGCATAGCAAAGGCATCCAATGGTACGAAAATAACTATAATTTGCCTGTTTCCCATGCAGTTGCTTGAATGGAGTTTTCCAATCCAGATTTTCAGATGGCAATCTATTGGCGATATGAGTGGCAGCCAACAGTAATTCAGACCAGAAAGGAGATTGAAACTTGGATTGAAAAAGCAATGTGCGAGCAATGTTTAAAAGTGTCTGATGCTTTCGTTCAACAACTCCATTCTGCTGAGGGGTATAAACACAAGTCCTCTGGTGTAAAGTACCATGTTCCTGTAAAAAAGAACTACATGCAGTATTCACAAACTCTGTTCCATTATCAGTGCTTTACCAGTTTGTCATAATGAGTGATCACATAATTAAAAAAAGATCTCAAGGTAAGCAACACCTGGTCTTTGGTTTTCAACATATAAGTCCAACAAAACTGGCTATAATCATCAACGATGGTTAACATATAAACAGCGTTGGTAATTGATTTCAACTTGTATGGCCCCCATAAATCAGCATGAATCAAATCAAACACATGCTCTTCAAATCAAACAACCATTGCTCGGAAGAAATAGCACTGCGTAGGAAAAGATAATCTCGTTGCTTAGCAACAGGACAAGTAGAACACATCAATTCAGCTATAATCACAATGAGCAATTCCATCCACATGTTTTCAAGACCGTTTAAAAGATCGTGTCCTAATCTGGCATGCCAAGTTAAATAGCAAGTGTTTATCGTGCTTCAAAACAACGAGCACAGAAATTACAATTTATTTGTCTAGAAAAAGAATCTTCGTCAAATAGTAAGGTCTCTGATCACAAGTCCTGTTGCCAAACTTCACTATCGGTAAAATCCTGGAATAAAACAATATTCAGGAATGAGTGAAACTGATAAGCCACAAGTTTCTTGTTGAGAGAACTGACAGACAATAGATTGCAACTGAAGGATGGAACATACAAAACGTCTATAGAGCACAATTCTAAGCAATTCAATCTAATATTACCAATGTGAGTAACCAAGCGTGTGG